AGGTTGATGCTTTGTGATTGTTCGGAAATAGTCCAAATTCCCTGTGCAGTGTGGGATTGGAAGTGAGCTCCCCATCCTACCAGGCTGGCATTGGTTGTGATTGTTGCCCTGTAAGGTTCCTTGAAAGGACACCCCTTGTTTATTGTTTTTTCCGACCACCAGCGGAGCGATCGGAGAACATTGTGTGGTACCTTTATCCGGATGTTGGAAGTGGCTCTTCCGGATCACTGGAAAGGTATCAGGAACCATTGTAGCTCTCTAGAATGGTATCGAGCCCAAGGCACAATGGAAATACAAGAAATCAGTTTCCCTAACAGTTGAGACAGCACTGCCAGGGAAACCCTCTTTAAGGCTCTGATCTCTCTGGCCAAAGACTGGATACTGTTTAACCTGTCCTGAGAGAGAAAGACCTTGCCCTCCACGGTATCTATCACTGCCCCTAAATGAACTAACCTAGTTGTAGGGATCAAATGGCTTTTATCCCAATTTATGGAAAAGCCGTGACCTTGAAGGGTCTCCAGAGTAATCTTGGTATCCAATTTTGCTTGATGTCTGGAAGATGACAAAATTAAAATATCATCCAGATAACATTGTAAGCGAATAGATTTGATCCTGAGTGTGGCAGCCAAAGCCGCGAGGACCTTGGTAAAAGTCCTAGGGGCCGAAGCCAGACCAAATGGTAGGGCGATATATTCGTAGTGCCGATCACAATAGCAAAATCTAAGATATTTGTAGTGAGCAGGTCTAATTGGTATATGTAGATAAGCCTCTGAGATCTATAGAGGTCAGGACATCGTTCTCTCTGATGCTGAGCAGAATGGACTGGAGAATAGTCATCTTGAATTTTCGATAAACCAACGTTCAGACGTTTGAGGTCCAGAATTGCCCTCCAGCCCCCCGAACTCTTTGGGACCACAAACAATAGAGAGTAACAGCCTTGACCCCGCTGTTCAGATGGGTCCTCTCTAATGGCCCGAATATGTAGAAGATGATTGATAGCCTCCTGCATCAACGGGGACCGTGGACCTAGGGCTCCTAATGAAAAAGTTTGGGGGGGGGGAGGATTGAAACTCTAGCACCAAACCAAACCTAATAGTGTTTTTGACCCACGCATCAGAGGTGGAGCTGTCCCATTGATCAGCAAACAATTTTAGCCGCCCTCCAATGGGAACTGCTGTCAAGGACTCACTTGGGGCGACAAAAAAATTGGCCTCCGGTGCCTCTGGGGTTTCTTCTGTTTTGGCCTCCCCGCTGACCTCTATCGGAAGATTCAGACCTATCCTGTCTAAAACGGCCTGTAGCCTGATGTTCCCTGAGATCTGGGAACTTATGGGCCTTAATAGTAGGGCCGAAAGGAACCCCTTCAAAACAACTGGGGCGTTCTTTTTTCAGACCTCCGAAAAAGAGGGGGAAGCACTTTTTTCTTGTTTCTATTCTCTATAAGGAGGGGCTCCAAGACACTGCCAAATAATTTATCCCCCAATATTGGGGCTGATGCCAACTTGCATTTATGCTTGGTATCCGCCTGCCAATGCCTGAGCCATAGCAGTCTCCGTGCTGATACGTGAGATGCTATGGCCCTAGACGAGAATTTGACTGCATTAAATGTGGCGTCGGCGGAGAATTCTACTGCTGCAATAATTTTAGCTATGTCCTGGTGGGCTCTGACATTTGACGCCGGCAATATATCCCTCAAGTGGAAGATCCATCGTAGGGAGGACCGTGTAAAAAAGGACGCTGCTGTAGCTGCCCTCATGGCCCAGGCGTCAGAAATGTGTGCCCTACGGAGTGCCAACTCTGCTCTCTTTTCTTCCGGTCTCAGGACTTCCTCGGCCTCGTTGGGAAAGGTTGAAGAAGAGGCCAGTGCCACAATGGGCTCATCCACCTCCGGCGTTTTGAGAAAATTTGAAAACTCTGGTGCCAAATTATAATATCGTTTATCGTACCCTGTTGGGGCTGGGTATGATACTGCTGATGCCCATTGATTTTGTACTAATTCAGCAAACATACGAGGGAGAGGAATGGTTTCCGCCTCATTAGCCGGTTGTGAGAATATTAGATCCCCGGATTCGTCCTGAGACCCTGTTGACAATGGATGAGGGTTTGATGTGCCTAGTTTAGCGGTGTTCTTTGCCTTGAACAATAAGGATTTAAAGAGGTGCGAGCGAAAAAGGCCAGAAAAGGTAGGTTGGTCTGGAATGAGGCCTTCGTCGTCCGACATTCCCCGTTCTAGTGGGTCAGCCTCTGACAACCCCAAGTCCATCTGATGGATCCATGGAAACATCCTGATCCTCAAATTCCACCTCCTCCCGAAGACCCTGGGCTGGTATGTTAGAAATATTGGGGAATACCTGAGTTTGATGTTGTCCCATATGCACAAAGGATCGAGCGGACAGGGATCCCTCATCCGAAGCGGCCGAGAAGTGTCATCCTGATGGATTGCTGAACTCCAGCCGCAGTGCCCCTTTGAATCGCCATCTCCATCCATTTCCTCATTTCGATGCGGATAGTCTCAGGTAGGCCGGCTACTGTAGGGGTGAAGGTTGCCTCTGGGATTAGCCAGGCAGTGCTCATTGGAGGAGATGTGCCTATGGGAGGTTGTCCAGAAACAGCCTGCCTGGGCTGGGTAGATAAGTCAAAGGGCCCCATCAATGGACTTGGGTCCTGATCAGATTGTTGTGTCATAGCCATCTTGTCTGCCTCCCTGGCTCGTTTCTGCAATTGCCTTTCCAAAGCTAGGTGCCATCTATGGGCATCCTTATCTGCCGCCTTAGAGGCCTTTTTGGGGCCCACTGGCTTATCTCGGGACTTATTTGACTTGGAGCGGAAAGAGTTGTCACCTTCCATTGTGGATGACTGATTCTCTTGCCTCTGACTTTAATTTTTAATTAATGTTTTTAAAATTATTATTATTATTATTATTATTATTATTATTATTATTATTATTAT